CTACATGTAGGAACTTTCAATCTATACAGGTCTTGATCTCTCTACACATACATCCATCACAACATGTAACCTGCTTCACTCAATCAGTTGATCTTTACACAAATGAAAACTAACTTACATCTTCATGCCATCCACTCAGTTTTTACCAGTAATGAAAATTGGATTTCAAAATCATTAAGGACAGTAGAAAATTTAACATAACCACGTTTTAATTATTATTCTTCTCTCAGACAGGCATTTTATAAAGCAGTGTACAACAGTAACAGACACTATGCTACAGTACTAAGGTAAATTATACTAATAAGTACATGATACACATGACCATCTCATATACAATTAGATACTCCTAACACAACAAGTAATACAACTGTATAACAGTGAAGGACACTAAGCTACACTATTAAAGTAAGTTTTACCAATAATAAGTACACAATACACATCACTATCTTTTATATACAAACAGATACTCCTAACACATCAAGCAATACAACTGTATAACAGTACAGGACACTATGCTACGCTATTAAGGTAAATTATACTAATAGGAAGTGCACAATACACATTACAATCTTTTGTATACCATTTGCTACTTCTAACACCAGAAGTAATACATCTGTATAACAGTAATGGACACTTGCTACACTATGAAGGTAAGTTTTACCAATAACAAGTACACAATTCCCCTTAACATCTTTTATATACAATGCGATACTCTTAACACATCAAGCAATACAACTGTACAACAGTAAAAAACACTCTGCTACACTACTAAGGTAAGTTATACTAATAAGTACACAATATAGATTACCAACTTTTATATACAATTAGATATTACAGACACAACAAGCAATACAATTGTGTAACAGTGGGGACACTATGCTACACTACTAAGGTGAATTACACTAATGATAAGTACACAATACACAAAAAGTAAAACATCTGTATAACAGTGAAGGGCATTATGCTACACTTCTAAAGTAAATAGTGCTAATAAATGCACAAAACACTTGACCATATATTATATTGAATTAGATATTAAGGCCTTTCCACGCTTGTCCACTTTGGATGCAGAATTACAACCTACTAAGATAGAATCCTCTTTGTTTGTGTTCACAGTAAGCTACTTTGAAGCATTAAAAGCAATTTAAACTGCATTGGCTTCTACAGGTTATGAATATTTAATTGACATTAATCCACCTCTGGATCTGAATTGACTGGATCTAACTTCAATGCCAAATTCTAGACAAGTGTGAACAACCTAATCCTGCTTTAATCCTGGATTTCGTCTTATTTCTGGATCCAAAGTGGACAAGTGTTGAAAGGCCTTCACTGACACAACAAGCAATGCAACTGCATAGCAGGCAAGGACAATATGCTATGCTATTAAGGTAAGTTATACTAATAATCAGTACAAAATGCACATTACCATTTTTTATATAGAATTAGATGCTCCTAACACAGCAAGCGATACAACTGTATAGCACGAAAGGACACTATGGTACACTGCTAAGGTAGTGTAGACAGCAACTCCTACCACAAAAAGTGATGTACTGCGTTACAAGGAATTAAGACAAAATGTGACGTATTTTTGAATTATTTATGATGTTGAGAGATGACTCAAAACATTCATCACCCGCAATTATCTTGAAAATAGTTATCATGTTAAATACAATGTTTTGAGTATGAATTTAAGAAACTGTTATATAAATGTTTTGTCTTTGCATTTCTAGGTTGCTGGCACTACTATGTCGTAATAAGTAAAAATAAAAGGAAAACATACAGTCTCCAATGTAACCCTCAATTGTCTACCTTTGTTCTCAGAGTGCTAACGAAATGCACACCATAGCTGGAATGGTCACTAGCTTCTTCCTTAGTTGGCTTAATGGCTAGAAGAAAGAGAAAATAATTCAGAAACTACAACCAAAATCACGAGCGCTCAATATGCTAAAAAAATTATTATTGAGCGACTACAGGAACACTCCAGCTACTCTAACAATCACACTGACTCTAAACCTTATCTTCGTCTTTATCTTAAAAAAGAAAAAACGAGCTTGTTAAGTACCAACACCTTCAATCAACTTTTTCTCCATTTTAAACTTGTATGGTCATGAGATTGGTCATATGATGTCACTTGTAAGAGGAAAGTGAACGGAAACATTAAAAATTGGTTTTACAGCATATTTTGGGTAATACTAGAATGCAGATTTCTGCAGAATAATCGTGGAACGTTCTGCAATATTCCGTGCACGTACACGACAGTGCACACGGTGGAACCTGTCTAGCATGCGGAACTGAACCATAGAGAGCGCCAGCACGGAAACATATCTATTGGGAACTAAACTAAACTAGAAAGAACATAAAACATCAAAGGGCTTGTCCCAAAAAGTTTTGGGACAAGAAAGAGGCTCAAGATAGCGATGCCACCTTTTCCCTTGCAGAATGTACTGTGTTATGTCATTTTCAAATTACACATTTAAGGAGCACTGAAGGGAGGTTTATTGTTTCTTTATCTATGAAATGAAATGCTAAATCAATTGGTGATACCCATTCTCAAGCTGCTAGGTGTTTTCCTTGCATGGGGCCTTCTTTAATAGGAAAAGGTATTCTTAATGAACTTGATAGCATTATAAAAGAGTATCTGAGCATTAATCATGCAGAACCTGTTCCATTTGAATTGATAGACAAACCACAAGGCCAGATTTTTTCCTATCGTTCTAAATTAGATCTCAAGCAACATACAGGAAGGATGCAGTCCATGCTGTTGACCAAAGACTTATTGGAGTTCTTTGAAGATAAAAACCTATTTTGACAAGGTGCTTCCTTTCTGCTTAAGGTCAGCCCCTGTTACTATAAAAACAGTTGCTAATAGCTAAGCTTTGGCAACAATCTGCTCTGCAATCATGGACATGGCGCACTACCTATATAACAGCTAAAACATTTATTCTTATTATTTTGAATAACATGTTATAGGGTTAACCCTGTGCTAACTTATGAGTTACTTTGTACTCTGATAACTGCCATACATTGATGTCTGTAGTCAAGGTCAGCTAAAAATTGCATTGTCATATCACTTGGATTGTCTTCTTTTTGCCAGCTCAGCAGAAATTTTTTTATTGAGTTTTATGGCAGAAACAATTAGGTAGTAGATGCAATCTCCAGAGATGATCTGCATGTTTGATTTAACATTCATTCAAAAGTTTTCTTTTTCTCACACAACTCTAATCCTTGACAGCATGCTGTCTTGGATGACAAGGGCTGACACAAATGGTTTAAGATTGTACACGAGACGTTAAACTAAAAGCTCAATTTCTTATTATTACACAGCTCTATTTTCCTACATAGCTTTTCGCTCAGATGGCGGCATCCGTTGACTAAAAAATTGCTGCCTTTTGCCACCTTTCTTGCAAATCATAAGTTTACCTGCTTATACCATATCTACTTATTTCTCTGGCTTCAGACACTTGCTTCAATACTACTTTAGGCAATAAAATTCCTCAGTTCATTTTATGGCCCTAGTGTACTAGATCTCCAACTTAAGGGAACATGTGGCTTTCAGTAAGGCTTTTAAAGTAATGAAGAAGCCAAGAGATATTTTTCTTTGAAGTCTTTACAGGCTTTTTCTGGTCCGTTGAACAGCTATAGTTTGCGCATGCGCATGTCAGCTAGCCGCATACTCTCATTAGTCTGGCTCCACCTATGTGTACCCACCCATTGTGATTGAGCATGGTGTCTGTCTTGATTATGGCTCAGAATCCCACAGCTCCACAGGCAGTCTTTTTGTAGGATCTACTGTTACAGTGAATAGTGGCCAGAAAGATGGCATTGGAGGTAGAGTTTATGTGACTGCACTACCATCCCACGGACCTACTATCATTTCAGGCTCTGGACCCACACTCATTCCACATTTCAGTCCAAGACAAACCCCAGCAACAAGTAGGGCAGCTGCCCCAACGCTACAATCTCCTCTCGCCTTACTGAAGTTGCTTCTAAAGGCTGTTAGCAAGACAACTAAGAAATCTAAAGTCTTTACTTTACGTGATGTAAAAGTGAACAATGTGACTTCGGTAGAGATATTGAAACAAATCATTAAGAATCAGTTAACACATGATATAACGTCTGATTTTGATGTTGGCTATATTCAAGGTACCAATATCATTAGCATCAGGGGTGAGAAGTATCTTAATGATATATGGGGTGGTGTACAAAAGCAAGGTGCTGCTGCTCTATTGTGGTGTGATGGATTAAAAGTGAAGAGTGAGAAGTGGAAGAAAAGTAATGTTGATACGAGCTTTTCAGATGATGATGTTGTAGTAAAACCTAAGAAGATCAGCGATTATGCAATGAAACAAAAAGCTGTGATGAAGACGTTTAATGAACTACAAGATAAGCATGGAGGTACTGACACACAAGTACAGTATCGCATATGGAGTGAAATAATTAATGGTGGAATGTACTCAAGTTTATTTAATCCTCCAAATACATCAACGTTTCAGAGAGCTAGAGGATTTGATCGTAAAGGAAGTGCTAGTGCATCAGTGAGTCCATCAAAATCCATTGATGTGAGGAGTAAGTGCTACAAACAATTGTCGGAACTCAGTACCCTCACGAAAAATGGAATACTGACAGTAGAAGAATTTGAGAAGGAGAAAAAGGCTATTATGCTTACACTAAATGATCTAAATTAAGTTGTTGTTAACTAGTAAACTCATTTTGAGTATCATTTAATCATGTGCAAATATAACCACAATGTTTAAGATGTTCTTTGCAATTTTGTTCAGTTATCATACTAAAGCAAAACGAAATCAAAGCCCTTGGATCTTGAGAAATCTCAAATAGCTCACAATTTTGTATCATGATACTCTTCACTTGACTAAAAACTCCCTCTGCTAGCATCAAATCAGGAGAATATGGTGGTAAAAAGCAGGCTTTAGCACCTGCTTGTGTTTCTATTAAATTGATCACCTCTGCCATGTGGTGTATGCTTGCATTGTCAAAAACAACTATACTGAATGCTCATTTGAGTAATTGAAGGGTTTCAGTAGTGGCATGAAATAGTAACGTATGAAATTTATAAATTTCTCTCCATTAATTGTACCAGAAGTAATATATAGGTCCAAAATACCATTCATGGAAATTATAGGTATGACTGAATATCGAATACCTCGGACCAAAAGATGGCAATCATTTAATGGATGACCCTTGAGACTGTATCCATACTTTCTGATTGTGTTACTTCTGTCGCAACCACTTTCATCAATCCAAATGAGCATAGATGGATCATAAAGAGATATTTCGGCCATAAATTTGCTACGGAGTACTTCAGATTGCTGTAATGCTATGTGATGCATATATTGTTTGGTACAACCTAGGTATCTGAGAGATTGACAGATTGTTGCCAAGCTAACAATAACACCAAATTTATTCAGTAGCTTTGATTGTATCTCGTGTAGGTATATCCCAGGATGATTAGATATCATTCGAAGTAATACTGCTTGTTCAAAATCTCCCAGTAGTTGAGTAGGACCATTTCTTTTACGTTCACCATTCACATCTCCAGTACGGTAGAACTTATTGATGTATCTTTTCACGGTAGAAGGGGAAATTTCCAAAAAATTAGCAATAGTAGCCACTTTCATTTTTCTAGGGCTAATATGAAGGTAAACTATTTGCCATCTAAGGTCTAAAGAGTAGGGATTAGGTATCTTAATTATGAAAAATGTTTGAATTGAGCTCAGTTTCCCACAAAGAATGTGCACATGCGCATTAGATACGGAGCGCAACGGACTTGCAAAAGGCTGTACAGTGACTGCAGTCAAAATATGCTCCTGCCTTGGACTATAGCATACAGTCTTCTTTAGATGCATGAGATTGGGTGAAGTTTTCTTAGCCTCCTTTGGATCATTGAGGTTGGGTAAAGTTTTCTAGGGGAAGGAGACAAATCTGTTAAAGTTTTTCATTATAGTAACAGACTCTAACAGACATTTTAGGCAAGTGGTACAAGCAAAATTCATCCTGTTGGCAAGGGATTGTATGTCTTTATGTAAAGTTACATAAGGATGTTTCTTCTGGTTTAGTTTTGATGAGCTTTTTGCTGCGTTGCCTTACGCTTGACACAGAGTTGTTTTTAAAAGCCAACAGTTCTTGTTCTTTGCACCTCATGTTCACAATGCCCTGGCTAGGAAAGTCTAAATCAATTGCTTTTTGACTGACATGGTTTTAGCATAGCAGCTACTACTACTGCTGCTGCTACTCATACTCCTTTTTATACTATAATGAGACTAGGTTCCTGAAAATTAACATGTTTTTATCATACATATAAAAGAAAGTGATATTTGACTTCGGAATATTTTAGCCGTCATGGCTTCAACATTCTAACACATTGTTTGAATGAAACATTATACATTTGAAACTGCTAATCATGGTAAGATAATCAGCCTATATGCAGAATTCATGTGCATTTTTCAAGATGGCGGCAGATTTTGCAAGTTTTAAACCCTTTTAACTTTTTTATTTTAGGTTGTGCTGCCTTATTAGGCTTAGATGGGCTGTGCTTCACTGAGCGATTCTCCTGGTAATGTTAAAGCAGACTGTATTGTAGAAGCAGCTTTTCTCATGAACAGCCTAATTCAAATTACTGCAATACTCTTTCATCTTTCTTCTGTAAGTTTAATTAACTTTTTATAGAGACAACTGTAAGTATGCTTACGGTATGTTTATCATTTATTATTATTATTTTGGCCGTTATGGTTTTAATCATGAAAGAGAATTTATGTTTTTATTATTATTATCATTATTGTTATTAATATTATCAAAGTTAATATTCATTATTTTTTTACACTTGCGCATAACACACACACATGTTCTATTGTTCATTGTTCTTTCTTTTTCCTGCTCCATCTCATGTTTGGTACTCTTTCTATATCATTATTTCTGTAGTCCATCTCATTCCTGTGTTATTTCATGATAACTTCTTGACAACCTCACTATTTCCTGTTAACTTATTTCGTCTGGGCTTACTAGCCACGACATTTGGTGACCCGTTCGTTTTCACAATGTGTGACCAGATATGAGAAAACCAGGTACCTGCGGGAATTATCATTTTGAGCTATGGGGAATCAGCAACGCCTGATGCTCTAGCTACTTTAACTACTCACTTTTGTGATGACATGAGGAAGGAAGACCCACAGGACGAAGAATATTGTCAAAGTTCATTGAACATGGATGTGGTTGCTCAGATAATTGCAATGCACTGTTCAGTCACTCTTACATAAAAACATATAGATGTGACATACAAGCCATAGCTAAGCCTGATCACGAGATTGCTACTATGAGTCAAATAGCAGCAACATCTACCATGGGGGATTGTCAACTGGCAACCACAGGAGACAGAATGAGGGAAAGAGGCGATTTTTTACGTTCATGCATCAAGGTCATAAGGTTTGTATTTGTGAGTGACACAACACAAAATTAATTATATTTTTCAACTAGATATGTAGAGTAACATTTCTGAAGCTACATACATGTGGCAAATGCATGTTTGAGTAAATCATGAAACACTACAGAATGAATGGATTAATACAAAGGTATGAGACTTAACAATGAAATGTTATGTACTTCATTTTATTAGAGTTAATGGAAATGCTAGAAAGACACCAAACCATGCTTTGACTTATGATGAAATTCTCTGGGTTCTTGTGTTCATCAGAAACTACGCTGAAGTCCATAGTATCAGTCTTGCTGGAAGAATACCCGGAATGAAACGTTACTAGAATAAGAAGTTCTTACCATGCAGTACATCAAAAAGGCAGGTATACTTAGAATATGCGGAATCATGTGATGAGCTTCATGTCAAAGCATGTGCTGAAGCAACATTCAACATGTTGTGGTGACACTACCTGCCTGATATTGACAAAATGAAGCATACCCAGCATAAAAATCTTATTAAGATCTTGACTAATTGAACAAGGTGTGTTAAGATTTCAGGTTAGTCTTGTAAAAGTAACTGTAAATACTGCCTGAATAATCTTATATAAGATAGTACAGGCATGATCTTACACATGTTCTTACATGATACATCTTTCGTTAATTAAATTGTATAAGATAGTATTGGCATGATCTTACACATGTTCTTACATGATAAATCTTTCATTAAATTTTATAAGATAGCATTGGAATGATCGTACACATAAGATAATACAGGAATGATTTTACACAATACATTTAAGCATATATAATCAAACAAAAGTGTACAAATATTACTAGCAATTTATAGGTTATGCCGGCATGCATGCATAAAGTGCATTTTTATATTCATTAACTTAATGTATTTCATAAGAGTTTGGTAATTGTATTAAGTATGTAATGTTCCTTGTGTTGTGTTTTATTGTAATTTCAAAACATTTTTTGACAATATTCTTCAGGTGAATAGCAATAACATCTTGTTGAGTTGAGTCAACTTTAATTAGTTGCTTTTTAAGTAAGCTGCTAGTAATTTGCTGAAGTTGTCGAATGTGATGATTACGAGGGGGCCTTAAGCAATCAATGAAAGTAGTTGTCTTTATGCAGTACTTTCATATAAGGCAGAAGGGTTCACTATCTTGGGACAGATAAAATGATACCACTTCTCAAAAACCAAGTGAACCATCCATGTGTGTGAGTGAGCAAGCTTATTAAAAATATTTGCAAGCTTCGCAAATATTTTTCACTATGAAACATGCAGCCGTTAGTAAACAAGCGCTCAAATTTCTGCATTTGATCACTTGCAACGGATACTCCACATGAAGAAAGAACTCTTCGTTCTTCATTTGATAAAGTAATCAAACTCAATTTTGCAATTGCATAAGAGTGTGGCCTAACTTTAATCATGTTTGATCTTTTTTTACGAAGTATGTTATTTAGGTAATGCTCTGTTTCTTGAGTTTTAGTCTTACTTAAGTCCTGAAGTTAAGATGGCAATGTTTGCTGAAGTTGGATATAAAAACTCATTTCAAAAATTATTCTCCAATTTCCATGAAAAGTAGGACCAAGGACACCATTACAATTTTCAAAGCCGAACATAGAATAGCACCACAGGGGTCCCAAAGCCTGACCAGTGGCACTGTATGCTGAAGCGAATGCATATTGGCAGTATATATTGATGGGGAGTATAAGTCCCCACCAGACTGATAAAATGCACATAACATTCTGTGAGCAGTATCGAGATCGTTAATATTGATATGATCAGAAAGAAGTGTAAAGAAGAGACAAGAAGTGATAAATGGTGTGAGTATTCCGGAGGAAGGAATTGTGCAACAATTGGAAAAGCATAAAATAACCATGCTCTATATTCAGAGGCTTTGTAAAATGATATCAAATCCAATGGACGTGGTTGCCGTTGAATCTCCTTGATTGATTTTATCTTCAGGAGCAAAGCATTAATTTTATTCATGAATTTTCTGAGAATAAAAGGATGGCTGTGAAACTTGGAGTCAAACCAATATTTCATTAATTGTTTAAAAATGCCCTCTAGTATTGAATGCATGTAGTCTGGTGGTATGCATTGTGGTAACTCAATTGTATCTGCTAGCATTGCTTTACCTTTAATGCCGTATTGTGCCTGACCTGCTCTGTCAGCTTTTTTGGCCAAATCCTCAAATACTTTGTTAGTACGTAAATTGTGAGCCATATCTGGGCAATAAATACAGGCACGGTTATATATTTCACCTTCGTCATAGCAATACAAACAGCCATATTGTCCATTGAACTGCTTCATGTTGAGTGCTTTTGATCAAGTCAAAAACAGCACATAATAGCATGGGGTTTAAAGGCACAGAAGATTGGTTAACTTGAACAGGAACTCCATCCCTTTGAAGGCTTGAAATAGATTGCAAAACTGGCTGAAGAATAATTTCCATATTTGAAAAAGTAGGGCCATGGCATAGTGCTGCTATGATTAAATTTTCAAGTTTCATTCGCTGACTTGGTTTTATACTTGAAACCATGAGATAGACAGACCAAAGACATTTTTTTGGATGATTTGTAAACTGGAACACCATCAGAAGAAAGAATTAAACCTGTACTTTTAGATTTACTTAGAAAGCCTCCATTAGACATCAAATTCTATACAGTAGCACCATCATGCATGTCATCTAAGAATTGGGATGATTGGACACGCTCAAACGGATGGCGAAAGTGATCGTGTTGCTCTATATTGAAAATTTATTATAAATAGTACATGTTATGTATTATTTTATGTACCAAACAGCTGTTGCAGCCTATTAGCCACAGAAAATACAACCAAATCACACACTCCAGCTTTCTTCTTAACACAAGTATTATTTTGACATTTCTTAGTATGATCACTAAGAATAGCCATATAATTTGAACAGTATCAGGTAACATTGACACTATTTAAGGACATAAAGTATGTTTTCAGCTGGTGTAGCGAGTCAGGGCACTCATTTGGTGAAGGACAGTGCACCTATGTACAAATACTGACCATTCATATTGTTATTGTTATATAGATGTATAAACCTTTATTAATTGAATTAGATCTTCATTTGCCTTATGTGAAAGATTATTAGCCACAGCATAATTCATAATTGTGACCGTAATTGACAAAAGGGCCTTTGTGGTGCAAAAAATCAAAATTGAGATT